AACACATTTGTAAGGTTGTAAAGACATATATATTTGTGACCAGTGGGAGATTGTTGGCAAATTTTGGGTCATGTATATATATGATACATATTTAAATGTGTTAGGGTCATTATTTATTAAGCCAAATAATAAAGTGATCTAACTAAATTAAAGTTTTGGCTAAAGGCATATGTCATGAAAATAAAATAGTGTAGAGACCATAGAGCAATTTCTAATTTGATGAGGGGCCAAAATGGAAATACTAAAACTTAAGTAATTAACCTAATTACGGTTATCTAAAGGGTCATGGTCCCCTTCGAGAGCACACACACGAACGTAAGTATCGATCCCGTTCCTTTCTTTCTATCCCCATCAAGAGAGAAAATCAAGAGGGAAATACGAGGTGCTCTTCGGGTGGAAGACCATAAGATCAATATAGTGCTCTACAAAGACATCATCGTTATGGCTAATTCAGGTACGCTTTCGCATTCAGTTTACAGCATGTTTATCAGTATGGGATTATGTTTATGTTTGATTGTTAGAATCAAAATCAGGATTATTATTATTGTTATTGTTTTTCCAACATATAATTGTCATCGCCACCGTCACTCACTACCTTTGATTGTCTCCTTTCGATGTCGCTCTTGTTCTCGTTGTTGTCTACTATTATCATAACTATAATAATTCATTGAAATACAATAACACGTAAGAATTACAATCTCTTAATTTTGAAAATGAATTTATTGAGTGGGCGAGTGAGTTATTCTTGTGTTCAATAATCATACATTAAAATAAAATAAAATGTATAAAATTTAAAGTTAGATGCAATGGAAGATATGATGCAATTTTGCACCTTAATTATTTTCAAGTTAGTTGTAGTTTTTTTTCCTAATTATTTTCAAATTAGGTGCAGCCACAATTTTTTTTCTCAAATTGCTTTCTATTTCAAGTGTTTAATAATATGTTTATTTATATTAATTTTCTTTATGTATTCTGCATATTATTTTTAGTATTATATAATACTTTTTCAAATAAGGATTGAAATTGTTATTATGTCGTAATAAGTTTATTTTAAGTTCAATATATTATTATATTATTAAAATATATTATTTTATTAAACTCGGTGCAACTCTCGTTTAATTCCTGATTAAACCCTAGTTAATCTTAAATTCATACATTCACCCATCCGGTTTTAAGAACCATGATATTATCTATCATTATTAAGGTAAAAGAAGAATGCATTTATTATTATATTTATTTTATTTTTAATTATGATTGTTTATTAAGGTGATCTTAACATCATTCTATATATTATTTAATATTTATTTATCTTAATTTATGCATTTATTTATCTTAATTTATGTATTTATCATCTTTTATATTTATTTACTTATCTTTAGTAGCACTGGTCCTCTATTATATTTATTTATTTATCTTTAATTATGCACCAGTCTTATTTTATGTATATTTAATTTCTCACTGACCATATTTTATATTATTTATTTATCTTCAGTTACACATTAATCCTATTATATTTATTTATTTATTTTCAGTTGGTCCTTAATTTGTTTATATTTATATTATTTAATTTTAAAAAAATAATATTTATTTATAAATATTTGATGACATTGTAGATAAAAAGTTAAACCTTGGGATTAAAATGAGTAAATATCTTGAATGATTAAATTTAGACTAATTTATCCTAATTAGTCAATACAAATTTAATTTAAAATTTCATAATATTAAATAAATAAAATATACGAAGAAGTTGAAAAGTTAATTTTATATATCATTTTAAGATTATATTATTTTATATTATAACTGTTTTCACTTTTTATTGTTATTTCTTGTGCATCTTACAACTAAAAATATTAATATAAATAGATGAAAACTTTAGGAAAAAAATAAATACAATTAATAAATCAATTATTTGAAGAAAAATAATACTTATCAATTTTAACAATTATTTCTAATATAGAAATAATTTAAATATTTATTTTATGTCTTATCTTTATCAAAATTTAATAGAAAATATTCATCTTTTAAAATATAATTAAATTAACAAAATGATAACGTAGTATACCAACCTATATAATTAAATTAACAAAATGATAAATGACTTCACGTAGTATACCAACCTATCCCACTGCACGACACCTTCAATGTCAAAATCCACCCCATCCAATATGGCATTGCCGAAAGGCCTAGACTTCGATTTCCCTCCCAATAAGTGATTTCCCTCCGAACACTGAATTTTTCTGTTAAATGACAGAGCAACTACCCATGTTTTATTTCTATTATTATTATTATTATTATTATTATTATTATTATTATTATTATTATTATTATTATTATTATTATTATTATTATTATTATTATTATTATTATTATTATTATTATTATTATTATTATTATTATTATTATTATTATTATTATTATTATTATTATTATTATTATTATTATTATTATTATTATTATTATTATTATTATTATTATTATTATTATTATTATTATTATTATTATTATTATTATTATTATTATTATTATTATTATTATTATTATTATTATTATTATTATTATTATTATTATTATTATTATTATTATTATTATTATTATTATTATTATTATTATTATTATTATTATTATTATTATTATTATTATTATTATTATTATTATTATTATTATTATTATTATTATTATTATTATTATTATTATTATTATTATTATTATTATTATTATTATTATTATTATTATTATTATTATTATTATTATTATTATTATTATTATTATTATTATTATTATTATTATTATTATTATTATTATTATTATTATTATTATTATTATTATTATTATTATTATTATTATTATTATTATTATTATTATTATTATTATTATTATTATTATTATTATTATTATTATTATTATTATTATTATTATTATTATTATTATTATTATTATTATTATTATTATTATTATTATTATTATTATTATTATTATTATTATTATTATTATTATTATTATTATTATTATTATTATTATTATTATTATTATTATTATTATTATTATTATTATTATTATTATTATTATTATTATTATTATTATTATTATTATTATTATTATTATTATTATTATTATTATTATTATTATTATTATTATTATTATTATTATTATTATTATTATTATTATTATTATTATTATTATTATTATTATTATTATTATTATTATTATTATTATTATTATTATTATTATTATTATTATTATTATTATTATTATTATTATTATTATTATTATTATTATTATTATTATTATTATTATTATTATTATTATTATTATTATTATTATTATTATTATTATTATTATTATTATTATTATTATTATTATTATTATTATTATTATTATTATTATTATTATTATTATTATTATTATTATTATTATTATTATTATTATTATTATTATTATTATTATTATTATATTATTATTATTATTATTATTATTATTATTATTATTATTATTATTATTATTATTATTATTATAATAATAATAACAATAATAATAACAATAATAATAATAATAATAATAATAATAATAATAATAATAATAATAATAATAATAAGTCAAGGAATAATTGTTTGTACTTCTCGAAGCAGGGTTGAATTGAAGATATTAAAAAGAAAGTTAGCTTATGTTTGGATTTAGGAGTGTATTTGATAGAGATAAAAAGAAAAAAAAAGAGTTTGTTTGAATTGAGAAAAAAATATAGATAATATAAGATAAGATTGATTAAAAAATATTAAATAATAAAGGAAAATGATGAATGAATAAAATATTTTATACATGATTTTATTAAAGAATATAAATTAATATTAAGGTAGATATAATTTAATATGAAATAATTATTGATAAAAATAAAGTTAATTTATATATAAATTATAAATAATTTAATTATTTTTATATTATTATCTTTTAAAATAAAGAAATATATAATTTATTTTTATATATTATTATATATACTTATTAATTTTTTTAATATTCTAATAATTTCAATTTTAATATTTATTTAAAATTACACATTATATAAATATATATTAAAATTAATTTATTTTAAAAATATATATTAATTAACGTATTCTTATTATATAATCGAAAAAATATATTATATTTTTTTTACAATAAATTGAAAATATTATTAATGAATCATTGTCAAAATATTATTAAACATATATTTTTTTAATATCTATTATTAGATAATGTTATTGATAAAAACTGTTATCTTGAAAAAATAAAATTGGTTAAATATTTACGTAAATTTTATTTATATTATTAAATTATATATAATAGGTTAATTTTTAAAAGAAATAAAATTTTATATAAGATAATTTTTATAATTCTTTAAGGATATATTAATTTTAAATAAAAAAAATAATTTATTTTTTATAAAAAATTATCAAAATAAACTTAATATAAACTTATTATATAAATATTTGTAGTTTGATAATACATGTAAAAAAAATATTTATATAATTTTTTTTTAAATATTCACGTAAAAATCATGTTCATAGTCTATGTGACCATACGCATAAGCATAATCAAATATACAAAGATTTATAATCAATTATATGAAGATAAAAATGTTTTTCTATGTGTGATACATGACTTTTCACTTCTTTTTTCACATATGAGAATATGATTTTTCTAGTGTGGATCCCATTATTATTTTCATGCAAATCAGCTTAAAATCACATAATCAACCATAATTAATTCCTTAAGGTTCTCAATGAATGATGGAAACAATTAATGGAAACAACCAACCTTATATTCATCAAGTCCACACATTTTAAAACCTTTTGTAATTAAATAATGTGATGTAGAACTTACTCTCCTGGGCATCACCATTGACAAGGTCCAAAATCCATTTTAAAAAAAGTTCTGGCAATGTCTTGACATATAAACCTTATGATGAATACAGACATTTTTGTCCGTACGCTGGAAAAAAACTGAAGAACATCACTTTGGAACAGAAATTATAACCTAGAGAGCGCAACTTTACGTAATTCCTTCCTCAGTATCTTTCCGGAAGCATTCTTGGGTATGGAATCAACAAATGCCACACGCCTTATTTTCTTGTATGGCGTAACCTGAAGCCAACACAATCACATCAAATTACATATAACTCACAATCTAAATGTAAAGAAGAAAGCAAGGAAGAAGGGAGAAGGACCTGTTTGGCAACAAAATCAATTACTTCTGCTGCGCCAAGGGAACTTTGAGGTTGTCTTACAACAAACGCCATTGGCACTTCGCCTGCTTCCTTATCAGGGTATCTGTTCATCATTTCTCAACCTTACTACTTCTTTCATTTATTTGAATATTTATTATTCTATTTGGAAGAGTATTTTGTTTTCCTTTTATATTTACACTTTTCAAGAGTTTTAAAAATATATTTTGAAAATTAAGCAAATTATATATATGCACTGATGTTTATTTTGAATATTTATTATTTAAAAGGAGTTATTTTCTTTTTATACTGATAAGTTTTAACAACGGATCACTGTGAAAAATGTCTCTAGACAATATTTCATATTAAGTGTACACAAGATTTGTGTCTTGAACAGCGCATTATGCAAAACTATTTTCTATTTTAACCACTAAAAAGCATAGCAAAAGGTAAGAATTTTGGGTCGTAAGAGACTAGAATCTTACGGAATAACTGCAGCTTCGAGTATGTGTGGGTGAGATAGGAGCAACTCTTCTAGCTCTGCTGGAGCAACCTGCAACGTAGACAGATATTATTTTCGAAAGGACAAATAATATATCAAGAAATATTTTATATAATTAATACTTGTAAATGACAAAATTTAGAGGCAATTCATGAACTAATTCATGTGTGATTCATCCACTGTGAGAAATTAAGTTTGAGCTAAGTGCTCAAAGTTTCAATTATATATTAATACGTTAATAAGGCCAAAATGGTTACCTGGTAGCCCTTGTATTTGATCAACTCTTTCAATCTGTCTACAACATACAAGAAACCGTCGTTATCGAAATAACAAAGGTCCCCTGTCCTTAACCACCCGTTCACCAAAGTTGCTGCAGTTGCTTCTGGGTCATCAACATAACCTGCTCAAACATAGTCCATGCATGGTGTAAGCAAATAACAAGTGAGAAGAAAAGTCTAACGAGAACTATAATTTAGTGTCTATTGTTACTGTTATAAGATGTTTTCTCAGTAAAATACACTTGAATAATAATAATATTAACAAACATCTAAATGATACAAATAATAATATTAACATTAACATACATCTACATTTTGAGAATGTTTTTAAAATTATTTTAAAAAAGAATTTGGACGAAAGAATAAAATAATGATGAAAAGTTTAAAGCATGTAAATAATTTAATGATGATGAGATATAAATCAATAAAATGTGATTTTAGTGGGAATCAAAATCAGGTAAAAATCATTAAGAATGAAGATTCTTAAATATTACCAATTTAGCAAAAGTGAATATATAAAGAACGATGGTTGATATAGGAAGAATGAAGGAATTTTTTTTTTTTTTAAATATTAACCTCACAAGGTTCTATTGTTATATTATGGTTAAAGAAGCACTAATAAGATATAATGGTGAAAACCAATTTCAGGATGGATAGTAGATTTGGGTGCAATTTGACTCTTATAAACCTAAATTTTAGAGGATCCATGTTTATGGGAAACAATCATGTTTTAGAATGGAGTCACTATTAAAAATAAAAATATATGATAATTTAATATATATATATATATATATATATATATATATATATATATATATATATATATATATATGATAATAGTTGATGCATAATTCAAACGATATGACATATGAAAGACTTCAACAAGAATGTATTATTTATTAACAAATTAGATGACAGATTCATATTAAATCTTAAAGGTGGTTAGAGAGAATTCGTAGTCATGAAAGAGATGATGACAAATTTGTATATGGTTTGAGGGATATGTTGCAAGTAGGGATGGTAATGCAGTTGGCTCCCCCCGTTTATACCACTCATGTTTGGTCCGCAATAAACAAGGAAAGGCGAGCTAGCCCATAAAAGAATTATGGGTTGAAAACCTTGGCCAATCATGCATTAGTAAAGGCTTGGGGGCCGACCTGCATAATAATTAAAAAAAAAAAAATGGTACACTACATAGTGGATACAAACTTTTTGTCATATTATCTTCTTTAAATTTTAATTCATAAAATCAAAATAAAATATAATAATTATCTATGTAAAGGAAAAAATTTAATTATTATAAACTTTAATGGGATATCTCATTTTATTTTTCCTTTTTCTGTTTGCTGAATTTCATTCTTGATTCCATAATTTCTCTACTTGTATTCTATATTTATTTCAAATAATTAAGGTCAAGATTCACTAATTACAATTGATTTGAGATTAAATTAAAATCTGATTGTAACCTAAAATTAATAAATAATGGTATACTAAATGAACCTAAACAATGAAAATGAATAAAATCACAAAGAAATTAAGAGTGAATTAAACTTGAGAATGTGAAAATATATAATAACATTAATTTAAACATTTAAGAAAAATATAAACTATGCAAGTTAGTTTATCATGTCCTGTAATTTAGCCTATGCATGTGACTAGTTGTGTGAGGTGCACTTAAACAGATTGCAAGTTGAAAATGTTTATTCTATCCTACGTTTTTCATGGTGGGCTTTCAAGTCAACCCGCATCACTCGCCCCACATTATCACTCCTAGTTGCAAGAAGTAGATATATTTATTGTAATAACAAGTGAAGAAGAAGCAGTATTCATATGGCATTGCAGACTTGGTTATATATTAGAATGAGATTTAAAAGTTTTTACAAAATGTAATCTATCATTTAGCTTAAATAAGTTATTTTACCTTTATGCAATATCATAAACAAACAATATAGATTAAAATTTTCTTATGATCATAAAAAACATATATTAGACTTCATTCATTTTAATGTGTGGGAATCACCAATAGTTTTTCTCAAATGAACAAAATATTTTATATAATTTATTGATTATTACTCTAGGAATTGAAAGGTGTGTCTCATTAAGAGAAAATCATGTGTTTCTAGTGTCGAGAGAATTCAAAGGATAAGTATAACTTAAAAACAAGATTTATATGCTTCAACAAGAAGTAGTAGTTTACAAGTTTACCAAATCTTTATAAGATCTAGACCACAACTTAGATGTTAGTTCAAGATATTTGATTTCTTTATTATTATCCTTAATCACATAAGATTGAGTTCAAATCATTGTATCTATTATAAGTTTGATGAGAATAATTTTGTCATGTTGCTATTATATGTGGATGTATGTTAGTGATAGATCTCATTAAAGTTCAAATCCAATAATTAAAGATATATTTAGATAGAAAATTTAATATGAAATACTTGGATCTAGCAAACAAAATTTTATAGATATAAATTCATTAAGGCATAAAAAATATGAAATGTTTGATTTTATCAAAAGAGTTACTTATTAAAAGTCTTGTAGCGCTTTAATATAAAGTGTTATATGCATTAGTGGTGGAAAACTTTATGTATGTTGTATAATATCAAATATTTTACAAGCAAAAGTGGGAATAGATTCATGACAAATTCTTGTAAAGAGCATTGAAGTGATACTAAGATCCTTATTTACATCAAAGGAACCTCAAATATTGTATTATGTTTTGGAAGACAATGAACTATTTGTTATTGGCTATATTCATTTAGATTTTGTTAGTAATCTTGATAAAAGAAAATATATTATTTTAGTAATCTTGATAAAAGAAAATATATTATTGATCATGTGTTTACATTTGTAAGAGAGATAGTAAGATAGTTATCCAAACTACAAAATGTTGTAACTTTGTTTACAAAAACTAAGAACATGAACTATCAAAGCATGTAAAGAAACTTTAAATTCCAAGATAACAACAGAATTGTTGAGTACTCCGATAATTAGAGTCACTTTTACGTTATAAGAAATCTTGTATTTTATTTTCATACAAAATATATAGGTATCCAATATAATTTTATTTAAGAAGTAATAGAAGAATGTCTTCTTACAAATATAATTAACATTAACAATTTTATATGAAATCAATTTTGTTGTCAACTATTGAAAAATAAGTAACATAAATAATAAAAAATAAAACATAATGTAAAAATTTAATTAATTTAATCAAAATATTTAAACGAAAAAAAGAAAAAATAATAGAAATTATATTTTAATATTTTATTTTTATTATTATAAAAAAACGTTTTAATATAATACATCAAAATCATTTTTTTCTTTTCTACTATTTTACTGGAGAAAATTTGAGAGAGAAAAATAATATATCCTTAAAAGTTTTTAGTTGTATTTTCTCACTTAAAAGTGGATGTTATTGTTTCCTATTTAAGTTTAAAATAAAGAAATGTTGTAATCTTCTTATATTTTTTTTATGTTAGTTGTAAACTGTTATATTATTGTCCGATACCTAATACAATAATTATATAATAAAAGTTTAATTTTACAAATTAAATTAGGAGTGACAAAATATAGTCTATCTATAACTTCATCTGGCCTTTTCTAAAATTCAATAGATTTTTCTATAAATATTTAACAAAACAAATTTATTCTAATCAATTTCTTTCATTATCAAATATTTCATAAATTTATCTTTATAAAATATATTTTTAATTTGTGTTACAATTTATTTTTGAATTATTGTTCCTGGGGTTAAATATCCATTCATAAAACAAAGATTAATAGATAAATTAGATATTTTTGTTGATATTTTTAATTAAACTTGATGAACTAAAATAAATTAATGATTTCCTCTAATTCAAAAAAGAAATTATCGGATTAAGCTCGTTTGTGTTTCCTAAATTATATATAATAATACACAAAAACCCAACATGGAATCAAACACTCTTGTTTAATTAATTGTTACTTAATTAATTAATTACCTTTCATGACGTAAGGTCCTTTGATCCACAGTTCTCCCTTTTCACGTGGAAACATGGCTTTCCCTGTTTCTGGGTTCACAATTTTGGCTTCAATGTTTGGAATCAGTCTTCCTACTGTTCCCACCTGATTAGCCTCCTCCGGGGTGGTTCGGGCAACCGCAGACTCAGTTAAACCGTATCCCTACATTATTTACATGAATTCATTGAAAAAACCATAAATGCTGTATAAAAAAATTAAAATATTATAAAACAATTGTGACACAAAGTAATAATGGTATCATTCACGATGCAGATATATGTTTCTATGCTGTCGGTCTGGTGGTGATCGGCACGTTGTCTCCATTACAGTGACCCAGTATGACTTAACTTTGTGATGTTTTAAGGTTGGGAGAATGTGATGTAACCGACACATTGTCTCTCATCACGTAATTGATTTCAGACTTTTTTTTTCTAATACAGTTTCATATTGAATGACTTCCATTTAAATTAAAAACCTTAATTTTCAGTTGTTTTTTTTTTATTTAATTTTTAATTTTAATATAATTTTTCTGGCATGATAGATAAAAATAACGAAGCGCATATGACTACTCTTCTTGGTAACATATTTTTCATTCTCTATAAAATATTTTATTCATTAAAATAATTCTTATGAAAACTCATTTTAGTTTTACTCTCTCTCTCTCCTTATTACCGCAGCTATATGTGTTTCAAGATTTTAAAGATTCCTCCTGTTCTGCTCTACCGTTTTAAGGGTTTTACAATTGGATAAAAGTGAACAATCATTTATATATTAATAAAATAATTATTGTACTGCTATGCCACGATTTTTTTTTTTTTTACGTAAAATCGGTCGAATTTATTATGATATACAAATACACAATTAAGATAGGGCCCAGAGCTATCATAATAGAATGTGAATAATTTAAAACTGAATATCAGATAAGTGCAAAACACATATTTATATTTTGATATGTTTTAAACTATTCCACTCAAAATATTAAGATAAAAATTGATTTAAAACTTAAACAAAAAAAAATCAAACATCCAAGATAAATAAATTAGAAGTCAGAAAAAAGTTTAATTTACTTTTTATTAAGACTAATAAGAGGAGAAATTAAAGGGATTCATCCGTGTCATTTTTCTAGAATATTTGGTATCACTAAAGTTTCAAATTTTCTTCTACGATACTCAATTGTTGGTTTATATTTTGATGTATACTCTTAAATTTTATATTATTTAAAAATTAAAATTAAGAATAATTTATATACATTTTTATCTATCAAAATATATTTTAAGAACAAAATCGTGACAATATATGTAATAATTAAGTATAATGATATCACATTGAACATGAAGATAAAATTTTTTATAGACTAAACAATTATAATATGATTTAATAAAGAAATTAAAATTACTATTATTATTATTATTATTATTATTATTATTATTATTATAAAAATAAATTGGATGGTTAAATAATTATTGTTCTAGAAGAAAACCTTGGATCAAACCTTCTTTAAAGTACTCCATATCTATTATCCCATCATGAGGCCTAAATTTGTATTTTATAATATTCCCTGTAACTCCTGTGAGTTTTATGTAGTAATTTGTTAGTTGAGGTCCTTCTACTTTAGTGGATCCATAGCTACTAGCTTGTTTTGCGGGTAAGTTGGTGAACATGGAATCTGATATTGGATAGTGAGTCACAATTGGCACCATGGTCGGTCTTATGACCAAACAGATATGTCGATCATGTGACTAATGTATAATATAACAGTACAAAGTCTCAAATCGAAGATACTAATGCTAATGTAATAGGTTAGTCTTATGACTAAAGAGATACTCAGTCATGTATTTGATATGTATTAATATGACACCATACAACCCTCAAGTCCAAGATGTTGAGACTAATATAATAGGTGAGTCTCATGACCAATGAGACATGTGGGTCATCTGTCTAATGTATAGTATGACATTGTACAACCCTCAATCTCAAGTCCTATGTAGTAGATCGGTCAAAATAGTCAAGTAACTGATAAAGATCATGGATCACATAGAATCATGTATGGGATCTCATTAAGATCACATGTCATGAGAGAGCGATTATGATCACATGCCACGGGGTATTGATTAAGATCACATACCATGATGGATCAATTAAGATCATATGTCATGGGATCGAATAAGATCACATGCCATGGGAGATTGGTCAAAATCACATGCCATGGAGGATGATAAGTGACATGGCAACGGGGCGGGGCAGGGGAGGGTTTTGCCTCCCCGATCCCCGATCCCCGCTCCCGATCCCCTCCGAGGTTAGAAATTAAATCTTCGTCCCGTCCCTGCCTGGGTTTTGGGTTCCCGCCCCGTCCCATCCCCGATCTATATTATTTTTAAAAGATAATTACATTTATAATAAATTAATTTTACTATCTATTTTTTATATATAAATAAATATTTATAATTTTATAATTTATAATTATTATTAATTAAATATACATTTTAATTTATTATATTTATATTAAAATATGTATGCAAAAGATATATTTAATCATTTTTTATTTATAATAATATTATTATCATAACATCTGTATTCAAATGTTTGAATACTTATAACATTATTATTATTATAATATTGTATTCAAACATTTGATTATATATATAAGTTAATTCATTTTTAAGTTGTCATTTAAAAATATGAAATATTTAATAAATTAATTCTTATTAAATTAGCTCAAAGTAATAAAAGTTTAAATTATCAATTCCTTTAATAATTTAAAATACAATTATTTTATTAGGATAAAATTTGATATATGATAAATAAGAATAATAAGATAAAAAAATATGACATAATAAAACCTAATAAATATAAATTATAAATAAAATAATATTAGTTACTACTAAGATTTATATAAAATATTTAGAAAAAGATAATGAATAAAAAAATTAACTTTGTGTTCATCAAATTGGTTGAAAAGATTGAAAAAAAAAACAAATTGATGGGAGAGATTAAGAAAATGTGAAAAAATTGAAAGGTAAGAGAGAGAATAATGTAATAAATTAATTGATATAAAAGATTAAAAAAATTAAAAGGTGGGTAGAAGAAAAATAAAAATTGGTGAAATATAAAAAAATGACATTATATGTAATAGAAAAAGAAAAAGAAAAAGAAATACTTTTAAAATATTAATATTTTAAAATTTAAATTTACATATAAAGTTAGGGCGAGGATGGGGTCGGGGTGGGGATTGCATTACCCATCCCCGCCCCGCCCCGACTTTTAAAGCGAGGAAAACCCGAACCCATCCTCGCTCCCGGTCAACTCGGGTTTTCCCAGTCAAATTCGGGACGGGACGGGTCGGTCCCCACAGGTTCGGGTTTAATTACCATCCCCGACAAAGCTTCGTCAGAGGTGAGGAGGACCATGGCTCCCCCAACATTTTATAACTTGGATTAATATTTATAATTTTGGGTCCTCAAACTTAATTATTATTTCCAAAGTTTTGTAATTTATATTAATATTTATGATTTTGACTCCATAAACTTAATGATTATCAAATATACTGCTTATATATTTTCAAATTTGACTTATCATCCTTTCATATTCTTTTATCTTTTTATACTTATTTATTATTTATTGATCATATTATTTGCTCTTCTTAGATCAATAATTAAGATCTGTCACTGGATGATCAAGATTGCATGTTAAGGAGGATTAATTAAGAACATGTGTCATGGAGATCAATTGAGTCACATGTCATCGGGAGTTAGTTAAGATCATATGCCATGAGAGATCGGTTGACATCACACGTGATAGGGATCAATTGAGATCACATGCCATAAAAGATCAATCAAGATCACAAACCATGAGAGATCAATTTAAATAACATGATAACAAATATATTCATGTCGATTGGTAGATGTCAAAATGTTTAATATTTATGAAATGAATATGATAATTTCTCCTTTGAAAAACATCACGTCATCTTTTAGATATGATATTCGTTAGCACTATGAAGATCATATCAAATCATCTTTTAACTTATGCCACTAAATCTCGGATACTAAAATCTTTAAGAATCTACCAAATTATATGCATATAAAATTAATGTTTGTAAATTAATGTTTATAAAATATATTAATTTATTGGATAAAGAGTTTGAATTTAAATAATTTATAATTAACTTTATTTGCAAAAATTATATATTTAAAAACAAATAAAAAAATAAAAATATATTAAATAATAAAATTAATTTTAAAAATGTTCATATAAATAATTCAAAAATATAAAATGAAAATAGAATTTATTAAAGATTATAAATAAAAAATAAAACTGAAAAATGTAATAGATACTATAATTTATTGTGATAAATATAATATTTTATAGGCTAATATGTTATTTTAACAATACGAGAATTCACATGAATTACTTAACTTTTTTTTTTAAGTATAAAAATTTGGCATTTTTACTTAAAATTATCATACATAAAATCTATAATTATTGCTACCCAACAACTCTAATTTTGGTCGTCATGATTTTCATGAATATAGTCGTAATTTAACATAAGTTCCTTTTTAATGAGTTGTTTTACTTTGGATCTATAATTTATGGGTCATGACCCAAAATTTTATTATTATGTTTATTAAATAGTTTGATTCTTATTATGTAGGATTTATGGTGATAAATCATAATTTTTGATGAAGTTTTCGAAATCGAACCTCTAAGGAAGAAGATCGCGTCGTGATTGAATTGTTGTATCCGTCACATAATAAGATAATTTATTTAGACACCACACAACCCTCACTCTCAAGCCATAGATATTCGGGTTTGAAATAGGTTAAATGATAACGTTATTATGTCATCGTTCAATTATAGGATGAGACTCTTCATTCGGATACCATATAGCTCCCAACTTCAAGTCACGAACGTTGAGGCTTAGGTAAATCATTAACGTACACTATTGTTGTATCTTGGGTCATCGTGTCATTTGATCTCACAAGATCATTGTATAGAACCGTCTAACTTCAAAGGGTCATCATGTGGAGTTATCCGACCTCACATGGTCATTATGTATAGTCATCTGACCTCAAAAGATTATCGTGTAGACTCGTCCGACCTTAAAGGGTCATCGTGGTAGATTGTGTCAAAATCTTAGGAAGAAATTTTCCAAATTTAATCGAGGATGAAATTACGTCTACAAGGTGGAATAACAAGAAACACGATCGACTATCAAATTCAAGTAAGAACATTAAGACATTGCCAATTCGACAAAATATTGATATATACCAATTATGAAATATTTCAATGAAAAACCACTTGACAAAAAAGTGAGGATGATGACAAAGTTAGATTTTAAGAAATATTCTAATTCTTCTTCATTTCTTCTCTTTGGTGTAGTAGAAACACTTTACCATCTTGATAGACACGCCAAATGTTAGTACAAAAAATTTGCCAGATTTTGATTAGTTAAGATTTTCATAAATTTATAATAATAAATTATAATTTTAGATGAGATTTTCTTAATTATATTTCTAAAAGAGAAAATTACATAATCAAATCATTACATGATTATGTAACGAGATCATTTATTTAAACATCGTGATAACACATTAAATTTAAAACTTTTAAAAAAGAGATGTCTAAAATGTTAAATTCATTACCCAAAAGAATTTTTTTTAATATTATAAATTCTATAATATAATAAAATGGATGAATAAAAATCATAAATGTTTTAAAATAATGGTTAGAAATATTATTTTCATTGTTTATTTTATTCATATGATATATATAAATAATGAATATGAATAGCTAATTTAACATAATTCTATAATGATTTATTTATAGTATCTTACTCGGCTCATGGGAGCAGGTATTCTCTGGGTTTCGGAACTTCGTTGCCGCTTTTAAGGCATGATGATTATGGGTCGTGGAGTTCTCAGGAGGACGCGACGTTATTGAAATTGGTGAACGAGCACGGGGCGCAGAACTGGTCCGTCATCAGCAACGACATTCCAGGATGCCGCTAAAATCGGGGTGGGCGGACTGGGCAGATATAACGGATTGTAGAACTTGACCTGCTTCATTCATCCATCATAATTTAAAAAAAAATAATTTATTTTTTAAAATAATTTTTTAATAAATTTAATAATAAGATTATTATTTATTCAGTCAATAATTTAATATATATATATATATATATATATATATTATTTCAATTTAATAATATAAATCAATATATTATTTTAAGAAATTATAATTTACAACAATAATAAAATTTATATAATAATAAATAATAACAAATATATATATATATATATTAAACGTTAAAACTTATAAAATTTATATTTTTTATATTGAAAAATTCAAATATCTATATTTTTTTTATTTGATAAAACTTCACATTATTATTGATTGAGTAATTCATACATCTTTAATTCAAGTCATAAAGAATAAAAATAATCAGTATTTAAGATGAACAAGGAGAATAGGAGAGAAGGTTGTTTCAAGTAAGGAAAATATTTTATGTGAGAGTAAAACTTTTTTAATTTTCTTTTTAAAATTTTTAACTTTATATATTATCTTTATAATTAATTTTTATTACAATAAAAAATTATTTTTTTATTAATTAGGCAGTGCATGAGCTGGCCGCCACTGTCCAGTGGATTGGCCCAACGAGTTGGCGAGGTTTGATCAGGCGGGTCAAAGCGGACTGGTGGCTGAAAATACCAACCTGTCTCACCGGACTGACCTATTTTGCCATTACTGACATCTTATGGAGGTGCACAATAGCATATCTTAATAACTTATTATAGGAAAAAAGATAAAATATGAAAAGAATAAAATTATAAATATATATTTAAATATATTAAATCATCGTAATAAAATTATAAATTATATAAAAATTAGTAAATTAATAAAAAATTAAAAGATAAAATTATAAATATATAATTAAATATATTAAATATTTATTAAATTTAGAAATCATAAATTATATATTGAAATTACAAATTTTTGGGATACTGTTCTCTCAATTTCCAATATTTCCAAGAAAATCCGAGTCGCGCGTCATTAACGGGAAGAGGCGGATTACTTAGAATTAATAAATAAATTAATTGAATTATTTCATTTTGTTAGGAAAAGTTTTAAGATTAATGTATCTCTAAATTATATAATATGAGAAATTATTTAATTTAACAGATAGTAATTACGGAGATTTATCCAATTTTATGAATAATATGAGAGATTATATTTTAAATTGATGATAATCAACTTTATAAAGAAAACAAGAGTTTAGTTGATGACAGTGTGATGTTAATTGATGATTGCATGCAACTTTTCATATTTTAAATTGACAGTGGGTTGTTAATTCAGACCTTTTATTATTTAGTAGGTCCACAATTATTAACTTATTTTATAATTGATTAATGAATTTGAACTCTGATCTTAAATAATCAATTAAGATTAATATTATGATCGATCCATGATCAACCAGACACGTGGATCATGTGATCAACGTGATATCACATATATAAAGGAAAAATGTATTGGATAATTTTTTCTTAAAATATAAATAATGATTCATAAATAATCATGAAAAAAAACACAATCATGATAAAAAAAGAAAAAGACAATCATTTAACAATTTATATATTAATACAATAATTATAAGATTCCTCTGCACCCAAGAAAGATTAGAAAGTTAGACAGTTTTTATTACTTTTAATTTTATATGAAAATTTTGACAGCTCAACACCATAACCTAATTGTTCAACATTAATGCTAAAAGCAGTCACTAATTTTTCATTTATCATATAATTCCATTTTCACCATGTTACTTTTTTATTTGTCTATTAGTCCTAATATTCCTCAATTATATCAAACGACATTTATTCTTATTTTAAAAAATAAAACGTTAGTACTTAATGCATAAATAATAACATTAAAGATTTTTTTATATATAAATTAACAAAATTTCATTATGTAAACTTTTAATTAATTTTATGATAATTATTTTAATATTCATCACCATACATAATTGCTAATTTACTTTTCTAAGTCAAATTATCAAATATTATTATGAATTAACTAAATAATTTTGTTTGATTAACAGTGAGTAGAAAGAAAATTTTAGAGGAGAAAAAAATTAATGAAATTGGAACAAAAAATAGAGGCAAACTTGACCTGCGTGACGAAAACGTTTGGAAACTTGGCTTTGAAAGCTTCATCGGTTTCCTTCCTCAGTGGGGCTCCACCGCACACGATCCCTTCCAACGACGTCAAATCGTACTCGTCTGTAACACTGTCTTGTGTCAAAGCCAACATCAGCGCCGGTACAACCGTAAGTTGCGTCACTTTGAATTTCTCCGTGGCGCTCAGCATTGCCCTCAGACTGAACCTCTCCATTATCACCACCGTGTGTGACAGCACCATCGCCCCCAGGCTGAACGTGAATCCGTACACATGGAAATACGGCACCGTATATAGGTACACGGCAGGCTCCGCGCGCTTCATGCGAGCGGCGTCGAATCCTGCGACTATCGCGGTTAGGTTACGGTGCGTCAGCATCACGCCCTTCACCTTCCCCGTCGTGCCCGACGAGTACAGAATCGCTGCCACGTCGGACTGAGTCACCGGCGTGGGGGGCGTGAGTGGACTCTGAGACTGAATCTTAGTTCGAGTGAGCGACTCGAACTCGGGCGAGCCGAGGAGGACCGTTCGGACATGAAACTGGCCTGTTTTTCCCGCGATTGAACTCACTGCGAAGACAATCGTGGGTTTGCTTAGATGAAAGAGGCGCTTGAGCTCGGAGCCCGTGGAGAGAGGGTTCGCGGCGGAGATGACCACGCCGAGGGAGAGGAGTGCGAAACTGAGGATCGGAACTTGGACATTGTTTGATGAGAGAACGAGCGCGGTGTGGGATTTGGAGAGTTTGAAAACTGTGGCGAGGTTCGCGGCAAGGGTTTCGGCGCGGTGTATTAGTTCGCCGTAGGAGAGGCGGTTGCCCGAGGTGGAGTCGATAACAGCGGTGGAGGAGTCCGGAAAGTGCGAGTTGCAACGGAGGACATGGATGTAGGAAGCGGCAGAGATGGCGACGTCGGGAGGAGGGAGGAGGAGTGGTGGCTTGAGGCTGTGGAAGCTTCTGGAAGCGGGGTTGAAACCGCTCCTTGGATCTGTGACGGGTGGGAACGTAGTTTTCAGCTTCTCCATGTGAAGTTGCTTAATGATGTATCTTCCCTCAAACTATTCTTATTGTCAACCTCTTTCCAATGGAAAATGATAGAAAACTCAAATTTATTAAACTCTTTTGCATCACTCTTTTTTAATAATAAAAATAAATTATTTAAAAAATTGTATGATTTTTCGTTAAAATATCACCACTCTTTTAAATTAATTGAGGCGTTTGAACGTACCTACCACAGAAACAGCTTCAAAACTCCTTCCACCTATTAATCGAGTACTTTTATAGCAAAAAGAGGAATATGAATTACCTCTCTTTCCCTTCTAAGGTTTATACACATATATATATATATATATATATATATATATATATATATATATATATATATATATATATATATATATATATATATATATATGGGTTAAAAAATTTAAATTTAAATCGAAAGATTAAAAAAAAAAATTAAGGACCAAAATTGTGTTTAAAAACACGATTTGATAATGACAAACTTGTGCTACATATGAGATGAGTTTAGTATATAAATGAAGAAATAGTACAATTTTACCCCATTTCAAATGAGTCAATTATTTGTATTGAACTTGTCTAGCTAGAGTTCAAAAGAAAGAAAAATTGTGTGAAATCGTGCAAGATTACTTGATTTCTTTGCTAATATATTGTGAAATTGTGTTTCTAAACACGATTTGACTCTCTTTCATTAATTTTTTTTTACATTCCACCCTTTTCCATAAATTTGAATTTTCTTTTTTGTTGAAATATACAAGGATATGAATGTTGAACATACATGGTTACGAAGTTTGTAGATTTTGATGATAATTTAAGAACAAAAGACTTAAAGATTTGAAGACTTGTAATGTTATGTAGTAACTCTGTTTTTATGATTTTTAGTCTGTAATATTAAAGTCTAAGATAGTCAGCACATAGTCTACTCTTTAAAGGTTCTAAAAACTCATTTTTATCAAAAACATATTGGATTAATTGATTAAATGGCAGGATAATCGATTATTACAGAGAAAAAAACCATTTTCTGTATCAGCTCTCTGGAATAATCGATTAAAGCCCTTGTTAATCGATTAATAGGGTTGTTAATCGATTAATTGCTCAGATAGTCGATTAAACTGCGTGGATTTGGGTTCCAGGTGAATTTGGCTCTATAATAATTGATTAACACTCAAGATAATCGATTATTTCAGTCAAATATGTGTTTTGAATTTCAAAATTGGACCAAGTTTTGAAAACCCTATTCCCAATTCACCAGGTTTCGAAAATCCCCAATTCTCAAACCCTAATCTGTCTACTTAAGGTTCTCTAAGGCTCTCTGCAAAAGTTGAGGGTTGTGACTGCCAGAGAATTGTTTGTTGGAGGAAAAAGGGGCTTTTGGAACCTAGTGTGGGGTAGAAGCGATAAGAATCACTAAGTGGGTTTTCTTGGTGGATTGTGTGTTGTGTTGTCTCTAGGGAAAGTTGTTCTTCATCTCTTGTGTGACTCAAGAGAG